AGATTTTAATAACAAACAAATACCCCCTATTTTAATTGAAAAAAAAACAAAAAAAAAAAAAAAACATAAATAGGTGAGAAACAACTTTCTAAAAAATAAATAAATCTGAAAACTAGTCTTTAGTTTTGTAATCCAATCTTAATAACAACAAAAATGAAATGATGGTGTTTAAACATAGCTAGATTAAGGTAGATGAAAAGCTACTAATAGACTTCAAACAACACAAGTGATGAAAATCTACATTATTACAGAGAACAGGAAGAAGCTACTCATTTCTAATCTCCAAAAACACAAATGATTAAACGCAAAACTCCACTATGATAAAGTGCAATCATAGAAATATTAAGCATAACAAAAATATTCAGGAAGAAAATGCAGTGAATTGTTCACCAATCGGTAACAATTTCCCTATGCCCCATTTCATGAAAGAAATGACCTAAGTTCTAAACAATATGAAATAGGAACATATACAACGAAGAAAGAAAACAGAAAAAGGACATTCATAACATCATTCATTCAGCATTTTCTTAAACTTTGGATTCTGCAACTACAATGTAATTAAAACACACTGAAAAAAAAAAAATATATATATATATATACCAACAAAGCAATCTTGAAACCTAACATGACGTAGAAGAAAGAACAAACCTTTTCCGGCAATGATGGACCGCAATCCTCATCGCCGCCGCCGGGGACCTTATTCGCGCTTCTCGCACCGCTATCGCACTCTTCCATCCTTCAATTGCCGGCTTCTTCCCCAATCAAAACCCTAATCTCCCCCACCTCCGCACTCCAAAAACCTATCCTCCTCCGCCTCAGCAGGCCCTTTCCCTCACCCCCTCCTCCCTCCAATTAACAAAACTATCGACCCGAACTATCTGGTTTTGCAGAGCCCGCCCTCTGCAACCTCCCTCACAGAGCTCCGACGCCCCAAAGAAGAAAACCAAGCTTGGAGTAAGTCGGACGAAGATCGGCAGCTCTTAAGGTCTAGGTAATGGAGATCTTCTGATTTTAGCTCTGAAAATAGAAGTTTTTGATCGCGCTCGCCTCCGAAATTTGAGAACTTTTAGACAAAAAAGAGGATTTGGAATAGAAACAGCAAAAGTGAGATTAATGGCTGATGAACTAGAAACCGGGATCTTATATAGAGATGGGAGAAAGGAGGTCGGTGGCGAATCTTGGGGTGGGGGAGCGGTAAATTCGGATATGGCAGAGAAACCTGGTTTTTTTAGTTGAAAAATATTTTATATAATTTTGGAGAATTTACATTTAAACCCCCCAATTCCTATGTATTTAATGTGAGACCTATTTTTTTTTCCTTGCATCTACACCACCCAATGTTTCTGAAAAAAATTGAGTACGTAAGACCTATGCAGCGTTGATATGGGTGTTATATTTGCATTATATTTGTGTTATATCTCATGTAACATCCATATAAATTCTATGTAAACTACATGTAATCTACATATATGTGAAAACAGAAGCACGAAACTTATTTGTAAGTTCATGTAGGTTACAGACATATTATATAGAGGTTACATGGATGTTACAAGGAATATAGCATGAATATAATACCCATATAACATCTATTATGTACGCAGCTTTACGTATGTCTTACGTACACAAAATTTTTCCCAATGTTTCACGTCACATTAAAAATCTATCCTTTTTAGCTTTTAAAAAGTAAAATGTTCATTTACATTAATTGGTATAATTGTATGTATGTAAGAAATGAAGTTTAGTTGCTAGATATATAAATCTTAAAAAAATTTATGTGCATACCCCATAATGTTTTATACATTTACATATATTTATATTAAATTTAATACCTACTTATATAACATTTTATTTTATTATCATAATTACTAAAATATATACATAAAAATATTTATTTCATTTTAAAACATTAATATTAGTAATATTTAAATGTGATATTAAATTTTAAGTTTTATATAAATAATATTAAAATTTTTATGTTAATTTTTTAATGTGATATAAATTTTAAGCTTATAAAACATAATTATTTTTTATTGATAAAATATCAATTTTAACTTGAGGAAATGAAGAAAATTAGTGTAAAATGATAAACCTAAGGCTCTCTCTTTCTATCTCTCATATTGTTAAGTCGAGTTTAATTAACTTATTTAAAATTTTAATTATGGTCATCGTGAGAACAGTTTTCAACTCATATTATATTATTGTAGTAGTAATAATATTGATTTTTATTTAATATATAAAGAATTTTAAACTTAAAATTTAAAATAAAATAATTATAATCATTTGCTACGAAAGAAAAAAAGAAAAAACAAAAGCATAAATCGATAATAATATTTCATAAAAATTATGGCAAATGTAGATTAAGATTATTATGTTTTTTTTTGGAATTTTTCGTGTTCACACACTAATATAGTACAATTAATTCATGTATATATATATATATATCTTAAAAAAATTGGCTGGAGGCTATGATACAAGCCCCCAACCAATCTCATGTGTCTAACCAATTCTCTACTGCAAGGCAGATGCACTTAGACGGGCTCGAATCAGAGATCTCAGGGGACTCACGACTGACAATACAGTTGTCAGCCAAAAAGTCACGGCACGTGCCTCTCACGCGCACGCGCAGAGAGAGAGAGAGATATATATTTATAT